ATGACTTGTATTCTTATAAATTTGACTTAATTCTCTATATATTTTAGAAATGAGGCCCTTATCAGAGACACTGGTTATAAAAATTCTTTCCCAATTTTCTACTTTCCTTCTAATCTTGGTTGCATTGACTTTGTGCAAAAACTTTTCAATTTAATGTAATCAAAGTTATCCATTTTGCATTTTGTAATGTTTTCTATCTCCTGTTTGGTCATGAATTCTTCTGTTCTCCATAAATCTGATAGGTAAACTATTCCTTGCTCTCCCAGTTTGCTTATAGTATCAGCCTTTATATCTAAATCATGAACCCATTTTGACTTTATTTTGGTATATAGTGTGAGATTTTGGTCCATGCCTAGTTTCTGCCATACTCTTTTCCAGTTTTCCCAGCAGTTTTTGTCAAAGAATAAGTTCTTATCCCAGAAGCTGGGGTTTTTGGTTTATCAAATTATAGATTACTGTAGTCATTGACTACTGTGTCTTGCATACTTAACCTATTCCACTGATCCATCACTCTATTTCTTAGCTAGTACGGAGCAGCTTTGATGATCAGTTTGGTACTTCTTCCAGGAGGATATGAGTAGATTATTTCTATTTTCACTTTGCCTTCTAGTTCTAATAGATTTGGGTAGTTTTATGATTTTTTGATATATGACATTCAAGTTTTTGTTTGGCTATAGCTTTCAGAGTTCCCAAAAAGTCATAAATTATCTCTCCTGGGACCTGAGTTCAAATCCAGCCTCAGACCTAACACTTGATACTTACTAGCTGTGTGACCCTGGGCAAGTCACCTAACCCCAATTGCCTTAAAAAACAAAAAAAAAAATAAATAATCTCTCCTGAATCTGTTTTGCAGGTCCATTGTTTTTGACAGCAGATACCTTGTTATTTTCTTCCATTTTTTTTCTCTATCTTTTCATTTTGTTCGAGTATTTCCTGTATCCTGGAGTCAAATTTTGTTACTCCATTATAATTTTCAGGTAGTCTGTTATTGTTGTTGTTGTTTAGTAGTTTCAGTGGAGTCCAACTCTATTTGACCCCATTTAGAGTTTTCTTGGCAAAGAGTGATTTGTCATTTTCTTCTCCCTCTCATTTTGCAGATGAGGAAACTAAAGCTAACAGGATTAAATGACTTGCTTAGGGTCACACAGCTAGTGTCTGAGGTCAGATTTGAAGTCAGGAAGATGAGTTTTCCTGACTCCAGGCCTGATGCTCTAGCCACTGCATCACCTAGCTACTTCAGAGAGTCTACTACTTAAGTAAGACTTTCTACCTCTGTCTTAAGCTTTCTCTGCTCCTCATTTTTTTCTTCTATGGTTCTTATTTCACTTATAATTTATTTTTTTTTAGTATCTTAATTTTTTTTGGAAATTGAAATCAATTTTCTTTATTTTTTCCAGTCATACTTTTAAATCCAGTCAAGCCATTTCCCCTCCTTGAGGTTCTGTTTCTGCTAACTGTGGAGTAATCTTCTTCTTTTGGGTTTACCTCTTGGCATCTCTAGATCCCCTATATTTCTTCATTGTGCTTGGTGTTTTCTTCTCTTTACTTATATCTACAGCCTCAGTCTTGGTTTGGGATTTTCTTCCAGATCCAAGGTCTGCTCCCTCTGACCCTCTTGGCTGGAGTAGCAATGCCCTATTGGTTTTGTCTCCAATTTCTTGGGTCTCTCTGCTTGTTTCCATTTTCCTTGGTAGGTCTGCTGTCAGGGTACTGACTGGGTTTCAGGCTCCATTGACCTCATTGGAGCATCCCAGCTGAGTTCTATATGTTTTTGGTAACCCCACCCTTGCATGTATGCCTGAGAGTGCATCAAGGGATACCCCTGGGAGTCAGAAACTTCCGTACTTATTTACCTAAGCTTGTACTGGTTTTCCTGGTGGGACCACTCTCCCAAAACACACAGATGTCTTTTGTGAAGTCCTGGGTCAGAAGGAGTATGCTATTGTTTCTCTTTGGTTATTTTAATCATTATTCAATCTGGTATTCTTTTTAGCTCTTTTCTGGAACATATGTAGAAGAGTTGAGCTCTTCTATGATCTTTCATGTCACATCTTAGCTATATGTCTGACCCTTCCTTCAAATGTTGAGTCTAAGGCTCCCCAGTGATATTACAACAATTACTTGGGCAATACTACAACAACTAGTATATTCAGTGAAAAAAAAAATCAGCCAAACCAGTCACAGTAGGATTTATTCAACAGTGTTAATAGAGAGAGGACTAATACCTATTTCATCAACTGATTATTAGATTGTTTTTATTTTATTTGTCTTTCAGGGGCTATAATTTGGCTGGTTGTATGTTTGAATTAATTTAGTAACATGCTGTATTATAACATGGTTATAATATATTTGGCATCATGGAGGTCAAAAACAGATTGATTGACTTTTAGCCAGATGTGTTATAAAATGCACATATTGTAACAGTCAAAGCAAGAAATTCTGTAATATAAAATTTTTGATAAATTTACATTTCAATGTTATAATAATAATGTATAACAGAGATAGCCTGATTTGGATAATCAAAACAAAACACTTTCTCAGACTGTAAATAACTTTGAAAAAACTGATATTCATAAAAATGAATATAGTATTATATTAAAATAGTGAGTTTGTTCAAAAGAGAGATTCATTTGTGATAAGAAGGATTGCCAAGGGAGGACAGTCTGAGAAGCAGCACAATGTGTAAGTGGCTATTGCTAAATTCAAATCAAACAAGAATTCTGGGATGAGAGTTTTTAGTGAAATCTTATTGACATGACAATTTCTTGATTTTTAGGAACACTGCACATTTTTAAAAGGTTCTCAGAATCTTAGACTTCAAAAGACTCTCTAAATTTAATTTAAATATAAGATGGCTTAGGAAAATTGGGATTACATTTCTCTTAGTGATACTTAGACTAAAAAGAGAAGTGAAAAAATGTCTTGGGAAAATGTATACGGTGGATTTATCAAATCTTAAACATTTGCTAAGCCTGGAATAGCCTCTCAAAAGTCTCTATTTCCCTCTAGTTTAAATATAAACAAGACCTAATTTTTATGTTTGGGGGAAAAACAGTTGACCTCAACCATGGAAAATTTCTCTACCCCCAGACCAAACAGTTGAGTAGAAAAATTTAGTCGTATTTAAGGCTTTTCTCCAAAAATTGATGATTGAAGAAGATACAGTAATGGGAAATTTCAAATAATCCAAAATATTTATCTATTTTGTTTTAAAGCAAAACAAAAAAAAACTTTCACATGGCAAATAATAACAGATATTTGTAGCATATCTAGTTTGACAACCACTGGAATGTAAATTCGTTGAAAGTTTCCAGTGAGAATAGAATAATGCAGATTAAAGTAATATTTAACGCACATTAAATGTTGTTTTACTTTCGTTAAACATGATGGGCAGTTTGCAATTTGTATCACTGTAACCACACAGATTAGATCATAGACCCACTGGAGTACTGAAGTTAAATCTTGATTAACAATGCAAATTATTGATGCAGTCACCTGCTTTTATGTCAGTGGGTATGTGTATGTGACTAAGTGTTATTTAAATGCAAAACATCACTTCTTGACCCTGATAGGATCATAATCAAAATTGATGGAAAGATGAGTTTTCACAAAAACATAAATAAATTGATCTCCAAAGGCTTTAATAAAGTCAAACTTTGAATAAGTTGGTGATACTTTCCAAATTTACAACTTCACTTTATTAATATGAAAAAAATTAAAATTTAGCAAATATTAAATATTAGTCACTTAAATACATTTGATCATAAATATAAAACTTTTATAACAATATATATGTTTCAGTAAAATATATTTAAGAAAGCGATGATCTTGGAATTCTACCTATATTAAATATCTTTTTTTCAAAGTCAAAACTCTTGCAAGATACAAACAGTTTGCTTTTCTAAAAAAAAATCCAATTACTATTTTTGTTGTCAGAGATATGTTCTGGGGTTTTTTTCCCCCCCTACTTTCTTAATGAAAAGTGTTCAGTATTTCTAATTATTTCTCTGCCTGGAGAAGCTTATATAATATAGGTATCTTTTAGTTTATCCCTTCATCCTCAATCATGTTTCAGCTAAGTAGGTGGCATGTGAATATATCCTGATTTCTTCTAGGCTTCATAGCTAACTGATTCGTTGAATTGGCAGTGAAGTCATATTTCTACTTGGGAATAACTAAGCAGGCACCCAACAAATATTTCCTTTTAATACAACCTTTTTTGACACAGAAATCTGGAAAGATTTAACTGTATAAGCTACTCTATACTTTTCCTGGCATAAAAAGATGGTTTCCAATTTTACATATGTACATATACACACATATACACCTATACATATATATGTATACACACATATGTGTGTGAGTACATATATTATGGTTGTTTCAGTCCTCAGAAAGAGATGACAGTTCTAGCACTAACTCTTTTGTTATTAACAGAGGAACTGAGAGTATTAACTACATTGTCACAAGAGCCAAAATGCATAAAATAAGGTATCCACCCCTCCAAGCATGTCATGATGATCAGCAACTTGACTAGATCAACTTCTAGGTAACAATTTAGCCACTTACCACTTGCCAACTGAGTAAGATGAAATTTAGGGGTAAAAATTGTACAAAAAACCAACAACTGTAACAAGAGATGTATCATGAGATATAAAGCACTTGTCACTAGGTAAAAACTGTGAATTCATTTTTAATGAGTGTTATTATTATGATTAATGGCACTTTGGAAACTTTTCTTGCAGAAGTGGCCTTTATGCTATCAACAAGTCACATGTGACTAAGGATACCAATGAAAGAAAAGGCCAGCAGACATGCATGTCAATCTAATTTATGGGGAAAAATGCATGTAATTTTCAGTATTTTTTTTTGGGAGGGGCTGGGCAATGGGGTTAAATGACTTGCCCAGGGTCACACAGCTAGTAAGTGTTACGTATCTGAGGCCGCATTTGAACTCAGGTCTGCCTGAATCCAGGGCCGGTGCTCTATGCACTGCACCACCTAGCTGCCCCATTTTTAGTATTTTCAATACTATTGTTATGATTTTTTGTTATTGTAATTAGTGAAAATTGACTAACAGCCCTTCTTGCAGAGCATTAATGGTATTTATTGCCCCGAAATGCTTCTGCTTTATAGAAATATTATATATCTCTTCCTTTAATTTAGCAGTGGTAATTTTTAAAACAATAATAGGAAACTTTCTTTAAAAGTTTAACTTTACAATTTATTCCTGATGACAAATATATAAGTATCACTTCATGGAAAACTGGACTGGTTGGCTTGAGGAAATTGGAAATCTGGTTTCAAATGTTGTTTGTAGTCCTCAAAGACAGGCCTTAAAATCTGTCAGGTTATTTTTTGTTGGTGGCAAAATACGTCAAGTTAGCCACCATTAACAAAGAATGAATGTAGTTTTTGCTTTTTCCCCAAGTTTGGCTGGAGGGTACTATAACATTTCACAGTGAAAAAATATAACAAAATATACTTTTTTTCTTCAAAGTAGTCAACTTGTCAATACAATATAAGATCTAAAATCCAGGTTGGACTATATTTGACAGAAACCTTACTATGCTAATTTTGCAATCTTGCTGAAAACAACCAAATAGCTTTGATAATGTTTAATAATAACCCAAGAGAAACCTCAATATGCCACATTTCTACCACTAAGATGCATAATGATTAGCTTTTTACAGTGAAACAATATGAAAAATCATTACTACCTACATGTAAATAATTACCTTTCAAGCTATTATGATCACTTTAAAAAATAATTTCCCCTTTTCACCCTAAAATTATTCAATAGGGTGTATTTTCAACTTAGGTTCAACAATGTGTGTATTAAATAAATTCTGGTATGTACAAGGCTTTAATGGATATGACACTATTATATTAAAATTAAAATCATATTACATATTCTGGTTATCTCTCAACTTTTAATTTTTAGACCTCAACTGTGGGAGAATTCTTATCAGAAAAAGAACAAAATGAAACCAAAGAAAAAAAGCAAGAATCTTTGTCTTTTGCAGAAAAAGCTAAACCAAAACTGGGAACAAAAAAACTCCCACCATCAAAGTAATTAAAGTAGGACCATTTGTTGTTAAATGCTTTAAAAAGTTCCCTGCAAAAACTTTTATCATAGTAAGGAAATATTTGTTTCTGAGTGCAAATTTTCCAAGATAAATTCTGTTGGAATAGAAACTCTGGTGAAACCCTGCTTTTATGTTATCACAACTAATATTTTCCCACAACTTATGCTTTTCCTTAGTTTTGTCCATTTCCTGTCTTTTTCATGTACCAAACACAACCAAATATGCCAGAATTTCCCACAATTTGCATTTCCCCATGCACTAGCCTCACTTGCTAGAGCTAACCTGTCTTCAAGTAATTTTTTACTTCTTATTCAGGGTCCTTTCTACATTCCTAGGTGAGTCATTTCAAGTGGTTTGGTGAAGGAAGCTGGAGGTCTGGTGAAAGAAGTCAAACCCCGATTGCCAAACCCTAAAAGAATCACAGCAGGACACCGACAGTTTATCTTTAGTAGAAGTGAGTGATGGAAGGCAGAGCTACAGAGAGATGAATTCCAACATGATTTTAGCCCCATTGGGGACTTTAACTTTTACTATAATTGTAATGTGACAGAGACAGTTGGTTAGGTTCAAATTATCCTAGACCTCTGCTCTTACCAGGTTGCTCTTCCTGGGTTTTCATTAGTTGGTTGCAGATACAGCCACTATCCTTTGAACTAGATCTGTGGCTAATTCATCTGTTCTAAGCTCTGATATTTCCAGTTTCCTTTTTCAGACCTCCTTGAAGTAACTCACTTTCTGAGGATGAGGGGAAAATCTTATGAAAAAACCTAGAAAAAGTAAAAGCTACTTCTGAAGTTGTTCAGGCAGCAAGATAGGTAATTTCCTTCCTTTTATACTTTTCCTCTATTTGCAGCATTTATCTCCATCCCTAGCAAAGTATATGATTCACTTTAAAGAAAAGGAGCAAAATATATTTTCTTTATATCTAGATGATCTGTTATTTTCTGCAAAAGTGAATAGTAATGTGAATAATATTCTCATAGTGGTTATATGTTCAGAGAGATGGCAAAGTGAATTTGTATTTTAAACAGCCTCAAACTCCTCTACAAGTCTTCACAAAACATTCTAGATTCAATGGTGTAATCAGTTGTTGCTAAAACTAGAGCACCTTTTTTTGGCTCTTAGGACAGGGTAACTAGTTGAAAAAAAATCACACATACATCATATATTTCATGTGTGAAAAGATGAGCATGGAGAAAAAGCAGCTGTCTATTAAAAGTTGGATCAGTGAGGCCCTCCCTAAAATCATGTCTGAGTATTTAGGTGGAGGTACTGTTCATGGTTATATATAAAACTTCCTTATGGAAATTAGCCTGTGCATTCACAAGATGAAACAAATTCAAAAAGCTGCTATCCTCTTCATCTTGGTCTCCTAAACGCCAGAAACAGGATAGAGAGAGTGGGGAGAGGAAGATAATCAATTTTCAAATATGATTTATTTGAAACACAAGATTTCCAAATTTTCCCTGAATAATTTAACAGAAGACAAGTCAGCAAGCTTCACCCAATCAAAAATCAGTTATGACAACCATGGAATCCTGTAACAAAGTACACTGGACTAGGAGTCAAAAAATGTGGGTGCTACTTCTAACTCTCCCCTTTCCTAGTAATGTGACCTTGGGCATTCTTATTGCACACTAGTGTAATGACTATGTAAGTACTCACCAGACATAACTGACTGCAGCATGTCCATTATAACACGTGCAAATGCATTTTCCACATTCTGTAGGAAGTTATTTCTCTCCACCTGCGTGCTAAAGACTTTGCAGACTTTTTGCATCATTTTTACTGCCCAGTCCATGCAGTACAGGTCCTTCTCGCAGACCTGATTTAGACAAAGATTATTATAAATGTAAGTACTCCTGGAGTTGGGATTTGGCTCTTCCTTGAATATGAGACTCTATCTCCCGACACTATGCATTTTCATTGGCTCTGTCCCATTCCTGGAATCCTCTTTCTCTTCAACTCCGGGCTTTCTTGATTTCCTTTGAGGACCAAGCAAATCCCATCTTTTTGCAAGAAGCCTTTCCTGAACCCTCTTAAAGCTAGTTAGCATTTTCCCTTTGTTTATTATCTCCAATTTATACTGAATATATTTTGTTTGTACATAGCTGTTTGCATGTTGTCTCCCCTATTAGACTGTGAATTCCTTGAGAGCAGGGACTGTTCTTGATTTTCTTTGTATCCCTAGCACTTATCTAGTGCCTACCTAGCACATTGTTGGCACTTAATAAATGCTTGTTGACTTGACTTGGCATAGACTATAACAGCTGTGGTATAGTGGTAAGATAATTAGATTAGAAGTCAGGGAAGTTGGCTTTGCTACTTACTAACTATATGAACTTAGGCAAGTTACCACATTCTTCAACCTTAGTTTCCTCCCTCTTCATAAAATGGATATAATTATTGTACTGACTCCCTTAGGGGAGCTACGTGGTGTAGTGTAGAGAGTGTTAGACTTATAGTCATGAAGACCTGAGTTCAAATTTGACCTCACACACGTTCTAGCTAATGTGTGACCCTGGGCAAGTCACTTAACCTGTTTGCCTCAGTTTCCTCATCTGTAAAACGAGCTGGAGAAGGAAATGGAAAACAATTACAGTATTTTTGCCAAGAAAACTCCAATGGTGTTACCAAGAGCTAGATGCGACTGAAACTACTGAACAACAACTACGTTGCTGGGGGAAATCAAATGAGGCACTAACATATAAAACAATTTGTAATTTGCAAAGTGCTATTTAAATATCAGCTGTTATCAGGATGATTATTGCTAATAATAAATAATCACAGTTATCCTTTCCACATTGTGGGGGTTAGGGGCATGGTGCCCCTGCAATCTAAACAATCATGTAAAATTTTTTGGCCTTCCTTTTGTACTGGAGAAGAAGTCTAAATTTTTTTTTTCTTTTTTGTTTATGGTGTGTTTACAGAAACTTACTATAAAATTTGGGTTAAGAATTTGGTCATAGGCTCTGTGTTGTTTGCTGGCCACAGCTTCTGCAAAACTCCCCAAAATTCCCATTTAATTTCTTATGCTAACCCAAGATATATCGAAACCATGATGGGGAAAATTGAGATGTGGAAGGGATAACTATAAAGGGAATGTTGAACTAGATACACACAATTACTTTCTATATTATCACTCTTTGACTTTTACAGATATCTTTTATGAGGAAGAAATATTATTGTTGATTTTTAAAGTATAGAACTGTTAAATCATCATATGCTTTGAAAAATATCAATTTTAGCTATGTAACACTAGAATGAAAAATGCTTTCAAATCTAATATCTCATTCGAAAGCTGCAAATTTAGAAAAAAAAATTTAAATCACTCCTTCACAAATTGTATTCTGTGAAACCCCACTGTCCTACATGCTGTGATTAGAGATTACATGAGAACGTTTTGATGCTAGGGATATTTTTCCATCTGAAATATTAATTATGGAATTGTGCATTATCCTAATGATAGCCATGCTAGTAGACCTTCTCATCTTCCTTCCTCCAATCCCACCAGCATATATGGCTTTTATTAATATTACTGCAAGTCTAAAAGTGTTCCACAGCTTACTTAATTTTGAGAAGCACTGCTAAAGAGATGTTCAAGTCCACGATTGTCACAAAATATTATTACTTAACATAAGAACCATTATAGAAGTTATTGATTACCTTTTAAAAAAAATTTAATAATTTTAACAAAAATAGTAGCTTAGAGGTTATTTATACTAATTTAACTATAATATTTATGAGTAATGATAGCATATTTGTAGCTGAAGTTGTACATCAAGGGGGGAAGTTTTATTCACTAACCTTTCAGATGACCAGTTCATCATGTGTAGCAGATATACATCATGAAAAACTTCATCAGAATATGGATAACTAATTATTATCAGTTAGGCAGCAAGCACTTCCTGAATATCTCCTACATACAAAACACCACACTAAGGTCCTAAAGAATAAGAAGACAATCCCTTCCTTTAAAGATTTTACAGTCCCTTAGGGGTGATGAAACATATACATACACAAATGACTTAAGAATATTAGCAAAGATTGTAGAGAAAGTAAAGATTCTAGAATCACAGAGTTGAGATAGAATACAAACTGAACATAGAAGTTTTAGAGAAAAGGAATGCTTAGATTGAAGTGAAGTTAAATAGGAAAGTATTCCTGGAGGAAATGTTGGTGTTTTGTTTTTTTTTAAATTAGGTTCTGGAAAAAAAAGTCACATGGTACAATAGAAAGAACACTAGATTTGAAGTCAGAGAAACTGTCTGAATTCTGGTTGCTACTAATTATCTGATTGACATTTGGTAAGTCAGGTAATCATTCTGGATCTAAGTTTTCTCCTTTGTCAAATGAAGGGATTGATGATCGATCACCAAGGTCTGGCATTAATTTCTGTCCTCCTAAGGTGGTGAGGGATATGAATTGGAAGGGGCAGGGGATAAGGCAGGGAGTGACATATATGAAGTATGTTTCAGAAGATGTTAGTTTATTGTGTATATTTTGAAAACATGATATACTTAATATTCTTAATCTCTCAAAATAATTGATATTTTAAGTATATTTCAGTTACACAGGGAGAGCGATCCATCAGGTTTTTAGGTGGTGGTGAATACAGTATTAGTCTGGGTACGAGAAAAGACTTTGTTCTGTACTTACCAAAGCCAAAAAGACTATCATCCGTGCTAGTTCATTGGCCCGTCCATTCACAGCTTTGCTAGCCATGAAGGTGAAACATATATTGTTCCCACTTAGGATAAGGAGACGTGCATTGTTCTCCAAAAGCCATTCTCGGGGAACCACTTTTGTTGTAGAAAAAAAAAATTACTTAATGAGAAATTGCCCAGTGATGACAAAACACATATATTACATAATTTTATTGAAGAGAAAATGAATAACTCCAACTCTCTGACTCATATATACAAGGCAGGATGGTATGAACCTATATATGGTGCCTTTCTTTAGGATTGTACAGGGATCAGAAAATACTCTTCCCTTCCCTATAACAGTGGCAAGTGGAGAATTTTCTCCCTTATTTATCCTTAGACAGTAATTTGTTAACCTGCAGGGATGGAATTTGAGGTCTGGTATGATTAATTTACTATGGTTCAACAAAGAATCTATACATTATATATGCATATACGTAACTGTGTAGATGGTATTTGGACTAAGTTATATCCATTCTCTTCAACTTTAAAATTAAATTCATTACCAACAAAATATTTTAGTATTATGATTTAAAATAGGAAATTTATTCCCTGTAGAAGTTGCCTTATGTTTAATAATTATGCTCTGATAGCAGAATTCTCAGTAATCAACACTGGTAAACAAACAGTTTTACCTGATAGTTCATCTACAAGACTGATTACATCATCTGCTGTCCACTCTTTAGTGTCATTGTCATACAGTAATTTAATGGCATCAGCTAAGCCTTTTAGACTGGTTTCATCTGTAGGTCCTTCTGTCATTTTCTGCCAAACCACCTGTCCTGAATAATTGGAACAAGCAAAATGTGACAGAATTTCTTTGAGGCAGATGGTTTTAGTAGTTTAAAAAATAAATAGGATTAGAAAATGAAATCTCATTATTTAAGCACATTACATTTATTTGAACTTTCATAATGGTAGATTGGTTTAGACTGCAATATAACTTTGAAATGTTCCTTATTAGAATGAGGAAACATGTTAACAGCATTTAAAGGAGCTAAAAGAAAGGTTGTTTTAGTAGGCGAAATAATGCTTTCAGAATAAAGATAATGCTACTGACATACCACAAACAGGGATGGAGAAAAATAAGATTTTTGTAACTTCATTGAATTGTTTTTATCAAATAAATACTAACCACTAATTTATACCAAGAATATGCTTATCCTTGGTATCTTTATAAATATTTTTAATCAGAACATACAAATCATGTCAATTTAAAAATTATCTGCTTGTGGGAAGGAAAAAGTACATATGGGCACACATACATCACAATACATTATAAAAACCAAATATGTATTTTGACTGCTCTTTTGGATTATTGGCTGCATTATTCTCTTCTAATTACCTAGACAACAAAGAATTGATTGAATGTTGAAAAATGTATAGCACCTTTTTAATTTAAAAATTGGAGATAATGGAAATATATTTGATAATGAACTGTAGCAGAACAGTTTCCATCTTTGAAGCTTTTGAAGTTTACACAAGCTAATATAAAGATATACCTGTATAAAAAATTCTGGGAAAAGTGGAAACAGTGTGGAAGAAATTATATTACATATAGACCAACCTCTTGCACTAGTACTAAGATAAACTCCAAATGGATACATAACTTACATATCCAAATGGATATGGATAATGACATCATAAACAAATTAGGAGAGCAGGGAAGAAATTATCTTTCAGATTTATGGATAGGAGAAGAATTCATGACCAAACAAAGGATAGAATGAATCACAGAAGATAAAAGAGACATTTTTTATTATGTAAAATTAAAAAGCTTTTGTACCAACAAAATCAGTTAAAATTAAAGGGGACACATAACAGGGGGAAAATTTTTTCAGCAAGTTTCTCTAACAAAGGTTTCATATCCAAGATATATAAGGAATGGATTCAAAGTTATAAGAACACAGCCATTCCCCAATAGATAAATTATCAAAGGATATAAACTGGCAGTTTTCAAAGGACAAAATCCAAGCTATCAACAACCATATGAAAATTGCTCCAAATCTCTAATAATTAAAGGAATGCAAATTAAAACAGCTCTTGAATTCTACCATGAGATTTGCAAAGATGACAAAAATGGAAAATGACAAATGTTAGAGGGACTTTGGGAAAACAGGCACTAATATATTGTTGGAGAGCTAGCAGTTTAGAACCATGCCCCAAAAGTCACCAAACTTTGACCTAGCAACACAAAGAGATCAAAGAAAGAGGAAAGAGATCCATATGTATAAAATATATATAGTGGCCCTTAATAGTAGCAAAAATTAGAAACTAAAGAGGTGCCCACCCATTGGGGAATATCTAAATGAATTATAGCATATGAATGTAAAAGAATATTACTACACCATTAGAAATTATGAAATGGAAAGTTTCAGAGGAAACTAGAAAGATCTCTATGAATGATGCAGAATGAAGTGAGTAGATGAAGCTGAACAATTTATACAATGGCAAAAAAAGAAAAGCAACTTTGAAAAACTTTAGAACTGTGATCAATGCAATGACAAATCATGACTCCAAAAGATCAAAGATGAAACATACACTAATCACTTTCTGCCAGAAAGATGATAGACTTGAAATGCAGAATGAGACATTCATTTTTGGACACTGCCAATATGAGAATTTGTTTTCCTGGAGTATGAATATTTATTACAAGTATTCTTTTTCTTTTTATGGTTCAATTTTTTTCGGGGGAGCAATAGGATGGAAAGTAAATGCTTGTAAAAAAAAAGTAAAATTAAGGTTAAGTACAGAAAAAAAAGGAAACTTCAGAGAGTAAGATTTAGGTTTAATAAAAATAAATACTTCCTAAAAGTTAGGTTGATACAAAGTAAATGGGCTCCCCCAGGGAATACTGTGTTCCTTCTCACTAAGGGTCCACAAATATACCTGTATAATCATGAAATATAGCATGATTGCCAAATACATATAACAAAACTATATTTCCCCTTTAAAACAAATTAAGTTAAACAGAAATGTGGCTTTACTGGAAAATAAATGCTTACCATCCTGAGATGATATTGGTCCAAAGATTATATAGAGCAGTCGTGCCTGATTCACCATTGGCCATGGTTTTAGTATTCGAGTCAACCAAAAGGCAGAGTCACTTTGCTGTGTCCAGTGATCTAATAGGACACTCCGACAAAATAGTCTAATTCTTAACTCCAACTTTCGTGCACTTCCTAAGAAAGAAATTAAATCAATCTACCTTCAAAAAATTTCTGGAAAATCAGAAGGCAATACCACAGTGATTACAGAGTGATTCTAAATGGGCTATCAAGTCAGAATCTCCAATAAAGTCCAATTTTGATGTCCTACTGTGTTGTGGAGGTGACCCTAGGTTCTCAGAAAATTGTCTAGCAAATGATGCATTCTTTTTTAGTGACAGAAACTTATAGATTCTCTACTATGGTGTAGTGGGATTGCAATCTACATTGATAGAGGGAGCAACCCATCAATAAAATAACAGATCTTTGAAGAGCTGAAATCTCTAGACAAGAAGTAATCTAGGAGTCTTCTCTTACCTGCCCCAATTTTCTAGCTTTGCTAATCTGCTCATTGTTTTTGCCCTGTTCTATACTTTAAAATTAGGAGCATGGCTAATGAAAAGACAGAACAATTTGGTCAGAACCTCATGAGATTTCCAATTTTAAAAAATAAGTACATAGAGAAACGTAGAAGGTATGTATCACATCATTAGTCAGTATGGAATAAAAGGTTTCTACTAGTCTTACACAACAAAGCTCCGGATCATCAAACCCGCTAAGCCACTCCCACATTCTCTTTTTCAATACCTAACTTCATCAAACACTACTGAAGGAAGTCACATAGTTGTGAATACTGGATTCACTATGTAAACTGATGTTATCTGATTCCAACTATGCCTCCACTGCTGCATTGCTATCTTTTATTCTTTTTTATTCTTCCTCTATTCCACTTCCCTCCATAACTGCTTCAAACTTTATTCTCTCTCTTTTAACCCTCCTGTGACTTCCCTACTTGCTCTTCCCTCCCCCTGCAAATAACCTTGTCTATTTTGCTAAGAAAATTGAAATCATCATGTACTCCTCATCTCCCCTAACTCACCTCTCAAAACTCCTCCAAAATTTTTACTTTTCCTCTCTTCCTGTTCAGCCATCAAACAAAGCTCTTCTTGTCAAAGTTAACCCCATTACCAGATTCTGTGGCCTAGGTCCTAGATCCCATATCCTGCTGTCTCCTCTAGGTGTTAATTAATTATGGCCCCATTCATAATTCTCTTATCTTCAATCTCTCCCTATTGGCTCCTTTTCATTGCCATCAGACTGGCCCACGTCTACCCCAGGGGTGGGGAACCTGCGCCCTTGAGGCCACATGTGGCCCTGTAGGTCCTCAAGAGCTGTCCTTTGACTGAATCTAAACTTCACAGAACAAATGAAGTTTGGATTCAGTCAAAGAACAGCACTTGAGGACCTAGAGGGCCACATGTGGCCTTGAGGCCACAGATTCCTTACGCCCGGTCAACTCCATTCTCAAAAACCTTTCCTAAAAGCTATAATTCCTTCAAGATATCATCTTAGCTCTCTCCTTTTCACTGCCAAACTCCTAGAAAGACTTGTCTAGACTCACTGCCTCTTCTTCCTCACCCCCCCAACTCATTTCTCAGCCCTCTGCAGTCTAGCTTCCAGCCCTATCCACCATTCTACTCAAACTGTTCTAATTACCAGTGACCTCACATCCCTTAGCCTCTTTGACTTCTCTGAAGCTCTCCACTCTCTTTTCTTTTGTGGCACTGTTCTCTGTTGCTTCTCCACTTACCTGTCTCACCATTCTTTCTCCAGTTTCCTTGCTGGTTCAACATCTGTCTCCCACCCTCTAAGCATGGGCATCACCCAAGGTTCAGTCTTAGTTTTGTCTCATTCTGTCTCATTCTCCCTCAGTGATATCACCTACTTTCATGGATTCAACTGTCATCTCTATGCAGATGTTTCCTAATCTATAACATCCTAATCTTAATATCTCTCCTGAATTCCAGTTCTCCAATTTCCACTGCCTGATGGATATTTCTACTTGGGTGCCTCATTGGCATCTCAAACTCAACATGACCAAAATAGATTTCTTCTTTCCTACCTATACCTACTTCCTACTTTCACCTTTATTTTTGTTGATGACACTACCACATTCTCTGAGGCACTCAGATTCATAATTTTGGGGTTATCTATGGCTCTCCCTTTCCCCCTCCTCTTTTATCTTCTCATTTGCCAAGTCCTGTCAATTCTAACTCCACAACATATCTTGCACCTATCCCATTTCCCCCTACTTACTCAGCCACTGTATCTCAAACCCTCATCACCTCTCACCTGAATTATTGTAGTAGTCTCCTAATTTCTTTCTGTTTCCAATCTTTTCCCTTTCTAATTGATTCTTCACACACTTACCAAAATAATCTTCCTCTTGGGTAATAATCTCACTTCCTTGTACAAAAACCTTCAGTGTCTTCCTGTTGCCTTTAGGATTAAATACAAGCTCCTAAATTTAGTATTAAAAGCCTCCCATAATTTGGTTCTAGCCTAATTTCATTATTACTCCCTCAACTTTATACACTCTAAGTTCTGGACAAATTGGTCTATTAGGTGTTTCTTACAACTCAACATTTCTATCTCTTCCCATTCACATAACCTGTCCTCTAGTCCTGAAAAGCAGTCTCTCATTTTTATCTTTCGTAGTCACTATGTTCGTTCAAAGTTCTACTCAAAGCCTTCTCCAACATTCCCATTTGTTAGTGCTCTCTCTCCCTTCAAATTTTATTCACTGATCTGTGTACATATTGTATTGCCTCGTAGAATGTAAACTTGAGGGTAGTAATTATTTCCTTTTTTGTCTTTGTATTCCCCATACCACCTAGCAAACTACCCTGAATAAAGTAGATACTTAATATTTGTTGAACCAAACTGAATCAAAAAGGTTGTGACCAAATTATTGTCTAAATTAACTATGTTTCCTTTTTAATCAATCACTATATTTATGGAAAAGCTACCATGTTCTAGGTGCTATGGGGAAATAGAAGCAAGTATAAAATACAGTTCCTACCCTCAAGGAGCTTACAATTTTATCAGGCTACTTACTCTTTCATGTATAGAATGCCTCATCTAACAAGACAAGGCAAAATATAATGAGTAACGAATGTGACATAAATGTGGCATTGAGCATCCCTAGACTGCAACAACATTAAGATAGGAATATACAAATAATATTCAGGGGATTGAAAAAAGATTAGTCTGAAGCAGATGAAAGTGATATTTAAAATTAAAATTTTCAATATTGTATTGGGCTACTGAATCTGCTTTTGAATCTGGGTCTTTATTTCTTTTTTTTTCCCCCCTTTTAAAATACTCTATTTGAATATCACATTTTTACCTGGTTTACTGCAAACAACTGTATGCATCTTGCGGGGTAGATTAGTCAACTCACATAGGAAGTTATAAACACGATGGCACTCCAACTCATCCCAACCTGCTGTTAGGGTCTAAAGATAACAAAATAAAGGAAACATTGCAGGCCATCAAATTGAAGTTCAGGTCACTTTTGCTCTTTATGAAGATGATCTGCAGCATATTTTGTTCTCATACATTATGGATTTTCCATATATACAGGAAATAGTTTTTATAAACAATATCTTTAGATGCTCCAAATCCAAATTCCTTTCTTTTGTTGAGAAAGGCAATAAACTTTTCAATGGACTTTCTAAATGACACCTGAAGCTCTTGTACATACAGTTTATTATTTTGTTGCATGCACTCTGACTTGAACTTTGACAGTAGTATACTGCGGAAAATTTGATTCTTTAACAAGACCTATTTTTTTACAAGACTTCAAGAGCACTGATTTAGGGATTTCACTCAGAATTATATTGTGGTACTGAGTTTTAGAATTATTAACAGAGATTGTAATGAAAAATAAACAAAAACCTATCATTTACCAATAGTTAAAATATTATAAATATTAGCATTCATTTGTGACATTTAGATGTAGTAAGCAGTGGAAGAGTTTATTACAGTTAAAATTTATAGTTATCTATTAGGAAAAATAACAGAGCTAAGTCAGACATCTGTGAAAAAGAAATTAAAAACAAAAAGGTAATTAGGTACATAAATTCTTCACTAGAATAATTAAATTGAATTTCTTCCATTTAAAAATGTCTTCTTTATTTAGAATTCCTTCCAGCAGATTAATTTAGAAAAGTATTCAGGTTTTTTTTTAAAAAGATATCCCTAAATATAGTCTCAGAATTTATTAGTCTTTACTTTTCCTGTTTACAAGATTAGCAATATTACAACTTTTTTTCTTTTTTTTAGGCAATTGGGGTTAAGTGACTTGCCCAGGGTCACACAGCTAGTAAGTGTCAAGTGTTTGGTCTGAGGTCACATTTGAACTCAGGTCCTCCTGACTCCAGGGCTGGTGCTCTATCCACTGCGCCACCTAGCTGCCCCCAATATTACAACTTTTTATTGAAATAATAGTTTCAATAACAAAAACACTGATTTCTGAGAGTATAGATGTACCAGTGCTTGCAATATATTTTAAAGAGTTAGCCCAAGTCCTTGAATTCATTAGATGTACTGTATTTTTAGGACCACAATATATCACAATTTTTGGTGCAACAGTCTTATCAAGGGCAGCTAGGAACAATATTATAAATGGGCAGTTGGTCAAAGACATTAGGGTTTCACAACTTTAAGGTAGGAATTTAGTAAAATGTATTAATAATTACAAAATAGTGTTGGTCAGAACAATGTAGTTAGGGCATATGTGAGGTATGCTGCCCATAACAGAATAATATAGTCAAAGATTCAATTATTTACTGTTCTCTTTAGAGTTGTTTCAACTTCTATTAATTGGCCATAGGATATACTTCTATGTTCTATTTACTACTAACTAATAAAAAATGCTTTTTCTCCTTTGTTTAAAAAGGTACAGTACCTGTAAAAACATTCCATAACATGGCAATCCTAAACACTGCATAGGAATTCCACAACCACTGAATTTAAAACATGAAACCTATAAAGAGAAAAGCTGTCACTTCCTCATCAATTAAACCATAACAGTTTGACTTTCAAATTCTTTTAATAACATTTATTGAGTACCTGGCTATGTGCTATATCTATGTGTGGTTGATACAAAAAACCCCTGTTAAATGAGGTCTATGTTCCCAAGAAACTTACGATTTCTTTAAGGGAGATAATTTTACACAGTTAAATAATAATATAAGATCGTTTATGTATAAATGCTAAATTGGTTGGAAAAGCAATAAATATTGTAAGAATTCAGTGGAGAAAGAAATCCATTTGGGGTAGAACAATGAGAAAACCTTCATGAAAGAGGTGAGACTTGACTTAACCTCAAAAGACTGGTATAATTTAGACAGGCAGGGAGGAGAGGGAAGACATTTCATGTGGCAAAATAGCATGGTCAAAGGTAAGGAGACAGAAATTAATATGGTAAATTTAGGGAATAGTAAAGAGAACCATATGCCTGGAGAAGGTTTCTGTTGGATTGGTTAGACAAAACAAATTGGACAGGAGATAACGATTAAACAATTGGATTTTATCATGCAAAAAATAGGGAAATCTTGAAAGTTTTTATGTGGGAATATAACAAGAATATAGGAATTTTTAATTATATTCAAGGAGGATAAACCTTGGGTTAATGTATAGAATGTATTAGAGAAGGGAATCACACAAAGCAGAAAGGTCAGTTTTAAAGATATTACAACAATTTAGGCCAGAATTCTATTCCAAATGAATATCATATCAGCATAATAAATAATATATAAGAAATATTTTATACCCTATTAACTGAGCACTGTGACTAGATTTGTGATTTTATTAGCATAGGGAACTTCTAGGTGAAGGAACTACCTCCACCAATTCAGGTGCTTGTAAGTTGCCCTTAATGTATTAGACTGAATTACTTGATTTAGATGATTGTTTCTGTATAGTGAAAGTTTTTGAATACCAGATCCAACAGTGTTGTCATAAATTTATAAAACTATTATTGGTCTCTTCTAAAGTTGATGTTTTTGTTCCGATTAAAATCAACTTTACTCTTTCTGGATGTCTAAAAATAAGTTGTTTTTAATAAAAAAATGACTATTACAATGTAGTAATAGAAGGAAAGAGCTATCTATGCTGTCTACCTCATGATAATGAGGCATTGGATTCAGAGTGGAGATTAAGATATGTATTTTTTCTGGATATGACCAATCAATTCTGGAATTGTTTTGCTTGACTATACATGTCTATAACAGGGGTTTTGTTTTTCTTGCTTTCTCAATGAGGGAGTGGATGGAAGGGTAACAGGAGAGAAAAGAGAGGTGGGAGAGAAAGAGGGTGGATATTCCTTTGAAAATAAAATCAAATTTAATTAAAAAAAACATTATAATTCCAACATAAATAAAAAAACACGGGAAATCATAATAGCTCAGATTTATATAACACTTTATAGTGCTTTCCACATAGCAGCCCTATGAGGTAGGTGGTACAAGTATTGTTATCCACATTTTATACATGAGGAAACTGTGATTTAAAGGGTTAAGTGACTTTCCCATAGTATGTGGCTAGGAAATGTCTTAAACTAGAAAATGAATCCTGATTTTTTTTACTCCAAACACAGTGCTTTTTATACTCTCCCATAGAATCTCATGAATTTGAACAAAGTCCTTAGTTACATTTAAAAGGTGACTAAAAAACAAGATAAACATGTCTATATTTTATATCTGAGCCCATGAAGCACTTGATCATTATAAATAAATTATTGAGTATACTTCATTATCCTAAGACAAGAATTGAAAATTATAAGAAATAGATAAAAAATTACTGCAAGACAGTTATAAAACATGTTTACTTAAAAATAAATTCATATAAACATTCAGAAGTATACATTTATTCTTACTTCTGAGAGTATCTTGTGAATGTACTTTAGCCTTTCTTTTGTGGGCAGCAGCAATGTACACCTTTTAAACAATAAACCTGAGAAAGAAAATAGATACACATATAAGAAAATGGCAGATAATTTGAACAGACCAAGTAGACACATGTCTCTTGAATATATCAAAGTAATACCATACCAAGTGAGCTGGCAAGACAAAGTTTGTCAAGAAGGTGCAAGGCATATGCTATTTACTAAATTCTTTTAATGTCCTTTTATGACACCCAGGGCCATATTCTGCAAAAAATATATTGTAGTTTCATGTGCAATCATCTTTTTTTTTTAATATACTATGATATGGAATTGCTTATTTTATTCTATAAATTAAAAATAAAATAAAAACATAGTATAGTAAAATATGATATTGGCTTTAAAGTATAAATGTGGAAAAATATTTGTATTAAAAAAGGCATAATGAGTAAAATTTGAAGATATATCAAGGAAACCTATATGTCTTGACATCATGTCTCTGTAGGGAAGCACAAGAAAATACTCTGTTGTCAATGAAGAATCTGGCTATAGTGGCAAAAACAGTTTTAACCTTTTCCCCAAATACATAGAAATTTAAAATTATAAGTATTTAAAATTCCAGAAGTTGGAAATAGTTTTGTTACTACAAAGTATTCGGTTTGGGATAATGACTGCTTAAAACTTTTCCTTCAAAATATTCTAGTGGGAGAATCATATAAAGGTTTTATAGCATTGTTTTTAGATAATTTTAAAAAACCTTTAATTTTCCATGGAACTGTGCATCTTGAACTGTTATTGCTACATTGTCAGTAAGTGGATTATGCACTTTCTGTGACTTTACATGGACTGTACTACTAAAATGAGATATGATCTACTTATCCTTATTCTGTTTTTTTTGTTTGTTTTGTTTTTTGGTTGAGCAATGGGGGTTAAGTGACCTGCCAAGGGTCACACAGCTAATAAGTGTTGTGTCTGAGGCCAGATTTGAACTCAGGTTCTTCTGAATCCAGGGCTGGTGCTTTATCCACTGTACCACTTAGCTGCCCTATTTATCCTTATTCTGAAAATAAACTTATTTCAGTGGAGGAAAACCTAACCACATGACTTTCAGCAGCAGTAACAGTAATAATTCTTTCATCAAAAAATGTCATATATGACTAATGCGGAAATATGTTTTGCATGACTGCATACGTACAACCTATATCAAATTGCTTGCCTTCTCAAAGAAGGGAGATGGGAAAGAGGGTGGAAAAGAATTTGGAACTCAAAACTTTTAAAAAAAAAGCCAAAAATAGTTTTTACACATAATTGGGAAAAAAGATTTAAAAATGTTACATAAACTATATAAACTTGTAAATTCTACTGATAAAAGTTTTGAAAATTACTCTATTTGAGCAACTTATGATTAAATATGAAGTTTAAATATTGACTTTGCTTAGTTTTATATGTAATAGACTCTTTCAGTGGTGTTTTCCCTTCATATTTTGTTGCTTGGTCTCTAGTGAAGAAGCTGTAACTGAACATTAGTTGCTTGCCATAATCCTTACTTTCAAGGCATATCATTATGTCCACAAAATGTTAACAATGCTAGCAAGTTTTCCTTTTCTTTCTTTTTTTTTAGATACAGGTGCTCAGAGCAGTTACAGACCAAATTCTTAAATTTTTTTTTCTGCTGCAAAAATAGACTTAGATGCAATGCTCTCTCCATATTAGCCATCTGCTCTGTTTCTTGTGTGAAGGCAGTAAATTAAAATTCACAATCTTCAGAGTGAAAGATTCTGAAAATGTTATCCTACTGCTTGAAACCTATAAAAGATCAGGGAAGAAAAGCAATAGGAAAAAATGGTCCTTGCACTTAAACATTAAGAAACCTGAAGAACTAGATATCTATAGCTAAAGGAAAATAGAAGCTTGAAGAAAACACATGGAATCAAATGTAAGTACGTGATCAAATGAAATGAAATATAAAGAGCTATAGAAATCTAAGATTATTATTATACAACTAATTCAAGAAATCAGGAAATTCAGGCTAATGAGGATTTTTGCTTATTATTCAGGCTGTTTTGTTTAAGTAGCAGACACTTGACCATAGTGGGGAAAAAAAAAACAAGCAAAAACCTGTACTAATTTGTGCTTTCATTTGGTCAAAACCAAATATTGAAATAAGCATTGTAACAGCCCTCCCATAAACCTTGAAGAAATGTATACTTTTTAATAATAGCTAAAAATAATGGCTAAATTCAGTTAATCTTCATTAATCTGGTTATTAACAATGAAAAAAATGGTAAGATTATACAGCAAAATTTATACTCATCTTGTCTTTGTTAAATCTATTTATATAAATATTCTTATTTTATGCTTGGAGTCTCCCTGATAATTGTCTTAAAATTAGGCATCCTCGAGATATAACAATACAGTATTTGCTTAGTTTGCTCTTTTGCCTTTACTTAGCTCTGAATTTCACCCTGCTGTGTTCTGATTTTATTACTATGCTAAGGTTAATTATATACAGCAGTTTTGTGATTAAATTGATGCACATCAGTAAGGTCCAAATTAGATTTTTATTTCATTATTCCTCTTAGAGAGAATGGAAACAGTAAACCAGGAGAAAAAAAAAGATAAATGATTACAGGCCAAGGGAAGAAAAATTATATAGAACTCTCTTTGATAAGGGCAATTTAAACATATAATTTATTAGTAAATGTGGATAGTATGTTTTTAAAAGGAAACCATCATTTCTTATTAGAGAATAAGTGATTTTATTCAATATATTATTTTAAAATCTTGACTCACTTTTTTTTTTACAGGATTAGAATATGATTGAAAGGGATAAGAAATTCAGAAATAAAGCTCATTCATTATGTTTCACAGGAAGCTGCTGCACAGAAATATCAGTTCCCTAACCTCTTAAACTCCAATTCAAGCCACATAACAAAGAGAAAAAGTGACCACATGTGTTTGTTCCTTTCAAATATACTCTCTTTTACACTTATCTTTGAAGATAAGCATATCACAAAAGAACTGCTGGAATTATAGTTAGAAGGAAATATATAATTAATGGGAAAAGATCATATTGAAAGTAATGAAATCATCCATATACTAGGCAATATTTGGAAAATATCCTCACTTCCCACTGGCAAAAGAATTATATAATAGGATCCCTCTAAGTAAGTTTAACTCTTTACTTATCATAATTCTCATTTCATAGGTCACCTAGAGATCTGTAGTGCTCCAACATATAGGAGCCTTGTTTTCTGCCAGACAGCTCCAGGTTATGAAAATCTTGCTGTAAAAGCCTTCTGCTTCCGGATGAGGTTGAGATGTAATTAATAAGGCGGTGGCTGATGGTTTTCGACACCATGCTTAGCATGCTGATATCCTTCACTAAAACAACAAAACCCAATATAACTAGCTTAACTATAAGAACTTAACTTTTGCTATACTTTATAGAACTAATCATATAAATTAACACATTAACAAACTACTGAAAAAATGTAAGAGTATGAATTCTTTTCTATCTTTTACGAATACATTAGGAACACATAACAATGAAATTACTTCAATGAAGCAAGGGCCCTGCCTTAAGGAGTTGGAGCTATTTTCTGGCACATCCTAAGCCAGAGGTTCTTAATCTGGGGTACATGACAAGGTCAAGGGATTCCTTCACAGCCCTTAACAGTATCCACTGTGGATATAAGAAGTCTGTCAAGGGCTTGTGAGGAATGTTTGGTAAATAAATATATTATACTATTGAAATATTAGTTAGTTTGTGGATCAGAAAGAGAATGTGGTAGTGGGAGGAGAGCTTGGAATGAAAAGAAGAAAACATTATAGTACATCTGAAAAATCTGAGACAGGTGAAGGGATAATTTCTGATCAAAATAAAATGAATTGAAGTTTGTTACAAAATTCTTTTTATATTGATCTAGAAGAAATCAGCAAAAATGACCAAATGAAAGATAAGTTAATTGATCTCTGAAATAACCAGGAACTTCGAACTAATTTCCAATCAGTGAAGCCACAGAATTTTTGGTGTACCCTTCGAGAATATCCCATTCTTATTAAACATGTTTAGTTATAATATAGTGTATAAAAATTAATCTCTTTGAATAATTATTCTCAGTTCTTTTTTATTCAAATACAAAGGAAGAAACAAACTGGAGGCTGAATATAATATGCAGGTATCTCTTTCAGAAACTAGATCTTAACTTTTTTGTGTCACGAATCCTTTGGCAGTCTGGTGAAACCTATGTACCCCTTCTCAGAATACTTTTTTTTAATGCATAAAATAAAACATATAGGATCATAAAGGAAACCAACTATGCTGAAATACAGATATTAAACTATTTTTTAAAAAACAAACTCACTTATCCCAGGTTAAAAATAGCTACCATGAATAAAATTGTTGGCTGACAAGAAACAGGTTTAAGGATCTCACAAATTTATTTAACTTTCTGATAAACATTTAACAACTTTATGATATTAAAATTTTATTTACACTCAAATTGTTTTCTGAAAAATTGATCTCTTTATTTTTATATGCATATGCTTGGTAAATAATAGAATTTATTTCCTTTCATATTGAACTGGAAGTGGAGTTTCAAGAAAGTTACCTAAAGCCAAGGGATAAAGTAACTAAAAAAAAGGTTTGGGGGACCCCCCCATTATAGGCATCTATTGTTATCCCTCAGAAAATTAAATTTAGAAACTAGTTTAAGCTATGTTGAAATATATTAAAAATGCTGCAGGGCCCACTGAAAAGTATAGTTTCTTAGGGAAAACAGAAATGGTGAACTCTATAGTTTAGCAATATTTCCTCTCCAAAAACCTCACCTGACAGATATTCCAAAATTATCTGGAAAAGCTCTAATGGTAATGCTTTAAAGTCCCCAAGTGTTGATAAGTTTTGAGAATCTGAGCCAAGGATGTTGCAAGAATGGTTGGATCGTCGGCTGCTACGTCTGTATTTCTGGTTGGGAATCAAGGTAAAGCTGGTACTTACAATGGATGTCATCCTTTTACTTATCCCATAAATTTCTCCTAGTTAAAAAAAAAAGGGAGGATTTAGAGGGAAGAGAATTAAAGCAATGGAAAGATTCAAAGATGAAGATGGGAATGAATCCATCACCATCTTACTGTTGTAGCTTTGCCTCTTGCTCTTTGTTTCATTGACTAGTTCACTTTACTACCTCCATTCCTTTGCTCACATTGTCCTCCCTAAGCGTGGAATGCCTTCCTTCTCACCTCGCACTTCCACCTACATTAATTGATATTCTATCCACTCTCCTTGGTTGGGCCTGCTTAGCATCATAAGATTTAGAACTGGAAAAGACTTCCAACTCTGTAATTTTATAGATGAGGAAACTGAGGCCTGGGGAGAGGATGTGCTTGCCCAAGGCGACCTCTTCTATTATACTTTCCTTGAAGTCTCTGGTCAGAAATAATAAAAGTAGTTGATATTTCTTTTAAAGTTCACAAAATGTTTTATAGACATTTTCTCATTTCCATTTTACTCTGTATATATTTTGTATTTGCTTATTGGCATATGTGTTATCCCCTCCCCCGAGAGAATGTAAGATTCTTGAACATAAAGACTTTTCATTTTGTTTTTAAATCCCCAGAACCTAACATATTGCCTAGTAGGCTCTTGATTAATACTTGTTGGATTTAATTGGATCCTAGTTCTTAGACCCACAGATCTAGAGATAGAAGGGGCCTCTAGGGCCATCTAGTCCAAACTCCTCATTTTACAGATGAGGAAACTGAGGCCCAAGGAGGTTAAGTGACTTGCCCAAAGTTATATAGGTAGCAACCATCAGAGACAGGTAACTCAGGTGCTCTGACTATAGAAAGAGTTGCTTTTTTTTTTAACTGAACCAAACTGCCTCTGTTACTTATTGGCTAAGAATAACCTTATACACGTCGCCTAACTTCTCTAAGCCTCATTTGTAAAATGAGGAGGTTGTACTGTCTGGCCTGGGAGGTGACTTCCAGTTCTAGATCTATGATACTGTGATTTTTTTAAATGTCCAAATGATATCTTGATAGGCTACAAATGTCTTCCTATATAACAGAGGATACCATTTCTGTCTTAGTTAATATGATGTGCAATTTATGCAGTTACCTTTGTGGAGCTGTTGTATTTAAATCATTTGCTCTTCAGTATTGCCTGCTGAATAGGGCAGCTAGGTGATGCAGTGGATAGGATAAAACTCATCCTCCTGTCAAATTTGGCCTCAGACAGTTATTAGCTGTGTGACCCTGGGCAAGTCACTTAACTCTGTTTGCCTTAGTTTCCTCATCTGTCAACTGAGCTGGATAAAGAAATGGTAAACCATTCTTTGCCAAAAAAAAAACTCCAAATAAAGTAATGAAGAATTGACCAACTGAAAAATAACTTAAATAGCCACAACATTACCAGCTGAAACATTTCTAAACCAGTAACTTCCAGCCAAAGGCTTTTTACTAGCTGAAAGATATGTGAATGAGATACTCTTCCTCTGCATTATTCCCACTAATATCAAATTATAGGGTGATAGAGCCTAGCTACATCTACAGCCAAAAGGAATCTCACAGGGCATCTAGTCCAGTGGTGTCAAAGAGAGGCAAGCAACATTCCCAAGTACTGCAGCAACCAGATTAAAATGTAATTGGGAAATATTTAACAACAACAAAAAAAATAAACAATAAAACATAGCTAATATTACGTTTTAAAATTAAGCCAATATACAACCATCAGGGATCCTTATGTATGGATTAGTGGACCCCATTTTATTTGAGCATGATTCCATTATAATCTAGTCCAATCCCCTTATTTTACAGATAAGTAAACTGAAGCCCAGCAAAGTTAAGAGATTTACCCACTGTAATATAGATAAGAAACTTAACAGGCAGTATTTGAACCCAGAGTCTCTGACCTCAGTGTTTTTTCTTTAATGCCACTTTACTTCCTCAACTCTCCTCCTCTGTTGTTTCCCAAGCCTTTAATGTCCTTCCCACAATCTTTGTCTGTTGAAACCCTTTCAAAATTTAGCTCAAATACCACCACCTCCATAAACCTCCCTAATTCTTAATCCCTAAATCCTCTCTGTTCCCCTAATCAAAATTTATCTTTCCTTCCCTGGACCTGCCATGGCTTTTTGCACTTCTCATATGTGATATGCCAACCCACGTTGTACTATAGTCAGCTGCATACATGCAGTATTTCTTTAATAGGTTGTAAATTCCATGCAGGCAAGGACCATGTCTTATTTATCTTTGTGTCCACTCTATCTATTCAATAGCTCCTATTCAACACAGCCTCTGCACACAGTAGTAAACTTAACATTTAACTGAATTGAATATATTCTAAGACAAGGAAAATCATACCAAGTGTGAAAAATAGTCAATGTGTCATGACAAAGATGAAACTGCTAATATAAAGCATGAGTTTCCATCAAACAGTATGGTGCTTCAAAATAATTGTAAATAGAAAGCAGTTAATGTGTCTTTAAAAATAGTATTTTTCTTTTTGTCTCTTTGGAACTAAGTACAATCATGTACCTTGTTTGTAGGAAGAAAAAGAAACCAAAAAAAGAGAAAAAATGTAAATTTCAAAGAGCTCTAATATATTGAGATTATAATTCTAAATGTATGTTTTATTATTCACAGACAATGTGAATAAGAAGTCGCTTGTTACATGACTAGAACTCAAACGGGAAACAACTAAATTTCCCTTTGATTCCATTTTAAGATAAGAATTACTAACTCCTTAATGAGAGACTGGACAATGATTTGAAGAATGAAGATTTGCTGATAAAGTTTATAAAAGTCAATAGTTATTTACTTGAATGAAGCAGTCAGTTATAAAGCATCTTTCTTGTTATGTATAGCCAAATTGGCCAACATGATTTGATTACTGCACTTCAGAAAATACTTAACTTCAGTGCAAATGTTGTTTTTTTTAAAAGAATTAAACAATCAAGACATTTCACTAAAGCACAGTAAATGTGCCTGAGCAAAATTTATTTTCTGCTTTGTGCCCAGAGTGTTGCTCTAGCTAATTTGTCACATATTCATTTATGGAACTGCACTCTATTTAACTTAGCTTGAATTAGTTACATGATATTTGAAATATAAATAAACTTAAAGCTTAATTTTTTACTTGGCTCATGCACAATTTTAGCAACTTTTAAAAACACCACAAAGAACTTTGCATCCCTTTTTATAGATCATGCCCTGAAGACAGAAAAATTAACAGGCATTTTTAAAAGTCACTTTTGTTATATTTACAAATGAAAAGCTCTGTCAATGAAAATAGAAAATCATAACATAGCTTACACTTCTCAAGGATTCCAACTAAAGCATGACACTAATAAGGGCCTGCAGCTTTCTTCAATGACTGAGGTCCAGTAGTCACTTGTCTTCTTTCTGGGACATTCACTTACACCTGCAGCTTGACTAAACTAGGGAAATAAAAAGCAGTTTAAAGTGCTACACACTTTCACACACATTTTTTTCATCCCCTCAAAAGACTAACACATTTTTCTGTCATAAATTCACTCTAAAAATGAGTATCAGTGATCCCCTTACAACAAATCCCCTTTGCTATTCTTCACTTGCACATGCATAAGATCCTAATGTCATATCTTTAGGTTGGAATAGACCCCAGGGGTCGGCTAGTACAATCTCCTTTTAGGGATGAGGAAACCAAATCCCATATTTTAAGGTAGAGGATGGAGAGGGAAGCAGGCTTCTTTGTACATCTCCATATTATGCTTACAATCCAGTTACCTCAGGCTTTTCCCCCCCTGCCTTTACAATTACCCTCTGGGGTGTTTTCATGGCAATCTCCTGAAATACTTTTTTTTTTTTTGCTTTTGATACAGTAGCAAGCCTCTGAAAGCCTACCAGAGCAAAGAATTTTCTCGAGGGAAGAAGTATCAAGTCACAACTAATTTCTTTTTCTTTTTTAAAGAATAAATCCAGCAGCCCTGGGGCAGACAGGCCCCGGAAGGCTCAGGTCCGTCCAGGGGTCAGTCACCCCGTAGGCTCTGAGGTTGGCCCAGGCCTTGGCCTTGGAGCCTGTCTGGTCCAGCCCCTGGGGAGAGTTCTGAGAGGACCTCCAGGGAAGGGAGGAGGAAGGGAAGGCAGGGGGACAAGGGCGAGGGTTTCCAGGAGGCCTCAGGGTCCCGAGGGGGCTTCCTCTCTCTCTCTCTCTCTCTCCCCTCCCGCCCCCTCTTTCAGCTCCATCCGAGCTGCTGCGAGCTTCTCCTCAAGGAAATCGCCTGGAGCTCACTTTTTACCACAGAGTTTGACAGTTCCCTGGCCAGGGTGTCACGAGAAAACGAGGCGGGATCGATTTTTTGCCTCTTAACCCCTCACTCGAAGCCTAAATCTTTAAAAAAAAAAATTTTTTTTCTAAACAAAAAATCCCCCTCACTCAAGTTCTCCCCGCGTGGGAGGAAGTGGGGAACGCAGAGAAGTGGGGTGGCTCGCGACCAGGAGGTGCTTCCGCTGCTTTCCCGCCCTCGCAACCTCCTCCGCCACCGCCTCCTACGCGGTCGCCCGCGCGCCCTCATGAATAGTCAATTTGGAACCCGCCCAGGAGCGGGGCGTTCCCGGCTGCCTCGCCCCGCCCCCTCATGAATAATCAAAATGACCACTTTTAAACTTCCCACTCCCTTCCAGTCAAGGCCTCGCCCTCAGGCTTAGACACTTGTAGACGATGATTGTCCCTTCAAGCTTTGGAACCCTCCCTTTCTCCTTCCTCCGCTCATGAATAATGTGGGAGGGTTAACTCACCTCCGCTCACGAATGGTTAAATGGAGAGTGTTGGGCTCACCCCTACCTTCGGTTCATGAATAATTAATCTAGAGAACCGGGGTCAATTATCTTGGGTTTAAGTGAAAGGTTGGACCCGCTCACCTCTGTCATTAATATAATTATTCCTATAAAATTAATAATAATATAATTGTATTCGTGAATATAATTATTCAATGTGGAAAAATGGGGCCACTTACCTCAGGTTTAAGTTAAAGGGTTGGACCTGCCCACTCAGCTCATGAATGGTAAATGAATGTTGGCCTCACCCCAGTTCATGATAATTAATGTTGAGGCCCGACCCACTTTTCTATGAAAAATTTAATGTGTCGAGGTGGACGCACTTACCTTAGTTAGAGTGAGGGGTTGGACCTGCCCATTTCTTCATGAATAATTAATATGTAGAGCTGGGTCTACTTACCTCTGATTAATATGAGAAGGTTGGACATCCTCCCCTCCAACCTTCCATTTCTGTCAAGAATAATTAATACAGAAAACTGGCCGGAATTATCTCCGGTTAATGTGAGAGTGTTGGACCCCTCCACTTCTGCTCATCAATAATTAATCTAGAAGGGCGGGGCCCGCTCACCTCTTCTCATGCATGGTAAATAAAGCTGTAGGACTCGTCCTCTTCTGTCCGTGAATAATTCATATGGAGAACCACACCCACTTACGTCTGTTTAATGTGATGAGAGATTTGGACCTGTCCAGTTCAATGGTTAACGAGGGAGAGTTGGATCCACTCACCTCTGGTTATGGTTGAGAGTTAGATCCGCCCACTTCTTCTCATGAATGTGAGAATATGATAGGCCCTGGTAGGAATATACAAAGTTTAGAAGAAAAAAATCCCTGCCTGCCTTCTTGGGGTTTCCTGTCTTTTTTTTTTTTTAAGTGAGGCAATCGGGGTTAAGTTACTTACCCAAGACCACACAACTAATAAATGTCAAGTGTCTGAGGCTGGATTTGAACCCAGGTCCTCCTGACTCCAAGGCCAGAGCTCTATCCCCTGTGCCACCTAGCTGTTTAGTTTTCTGTCTTTTTAAGGAGGACAAGACAGCAATACACATAACTTTCAAAAACTCAATTGGATCTGTGATTACATCAAAATGGATATTCCATCCAATGATACAGATTGTAGCCATGCTTGCTTATCTTATTTCACTCTTATCTGTGTCCTCTCTCAAGTTATCTCCATTTTACAGGTGAGGAAACTGAGGCAGACAGTGGTTAAGTGATTTTCCCAAGGTCACCTACTTGGTAAATGTCTGCTTCTGAAACATTTTGATGACAGTCTTTACTCTGCATTAATGTTTGTAACAGTGGATAGAGCACTGAGCTTGGAATCAGGAAGACTCCTTCCTGAGTTGAAATCCAACCTCAGACACTAGCTGTGTGAGTCTGGGCAAATCACTTAACTCTTTTTGCCTCAGTTTCTCATCTGTAAAATGAGCTGAAGAAGTAGATGGCAAACCACTCCAGTATCTTTGCCAACAAAAACCCAAATGGAGTCATGAGTTGTCAGACACTACTGGGATGACTCAGCAATACACTCTGGTACCTTTCCAATGCCCTCTGAGAGACTGCTTTTCAGTTCCTTGGGGATCATAGTATTTTGTGACTCATAGCTATATGATACAGGTAGAAACTTAGTATTAACAAGATGAGCCTTCTATGCCCAAAGGATTTTAAAACTGGGCATATCCTTTGACCTAGCAATACCACTACTTGGTCTGTAGCCTAAAGAGATTGAAAAACCAAAAACGAAAAAGACGTCATGTACACAAATATTTATAGTAGTTCTTTTAGTGGTGGTAAAGAATTGGAAATTGAGGGGTTGGCTATCAATTGGGGAATGGCTGAACAGGTTCTGGCATACGATTGTGATGGAATACTGTTGTACTATAAGAAATGATGAGCAAAAGGCTTTCAGAAGAACCTGGAGAGACAACTAGGTGGCACAGTGGATAGAGCACTGGCCCTGGAGTTAGGAGGACCTGAGTTCAAATCCAGGCTCAAACACATAAAACTCACTAGCTGTGCGACCCTGGGCAAGTCACTTAACCCCATTGCCTAGCTGAAACAAAACAAAACAAAAAAAGCAAACAAACAAACAAAAAGAACCTGGGAAGACTTACATAAACTGATACAAAGTGAAATGAACAGAACCAGGAGAACATGGTATACAGTAACAGCAATATTGTATAATGGTCAGCTGTGAATGACTTGGCTATTCTCAGTAATACAACGATCCAAGACAATTTTAAAGAACTCATGATGAAAAAACGCTGTTCATCTCCAGAGAAAGAACTGATGGAGTCTGAATGAAAATAGAAGCATACTTATTATTTTTTTATTTTCTTAATTTTTCTTAGGGCTTGTTTGTTTTTTGGTCTGTGTTTTCTTTCTCAACATGACTAATATGGAAATATGTTTTGCATGACTGCACATGTATAACCTATATGAAGTTGCTTGCCTTTTCAGTGAGGTTGGAGGGAGAGAATTTGGAACTCAAAATTTTAGAAAAATGAATGTTAAAAATTGTTTTTGCATGGAATTGGAAATTTTTTTTTTAAAAAAAGATAGGCTTGTATTTCAAGGAAAAGTTTGGGGTAATTAAGAGAACTTCAAAGTTTTCCCAAAGGCAATCCAGTCAGCTCTCTTCCGTATTCAATTCCAGTCCCAACCTTACCTAATTAAGTGCTTTTTTATAGTCAGAAAATAAATAGGATCTTGTCTTTTCTATATTTTTTAGTCAGTTGTGTGTTGATAAAGATGCATGATTCTAATACCATGGCATACAACTTGTGGAAGCTTGCCTATTCTCTTCCAATACCCTCACAAAGGATGACCTTGATTCATGTGTAGATTATTGCCATAAAATTTTATGTAGGTGGGAATTATCTTCTCTCTGTTACCCCTTTTTTTTGGGGGGGGTAGTAATAGTTTCAATTTTTCCATCAATTTGGTACCTTCTCTTTCTTCAGCTACCTTGAGAATGATTCTTCAAAGCCCCCACTTGTCTCACCTCAAGCATGGACCTCGGATGTCAACATTTGATCTAGTTCAGCTGCTTTTCCCATCTGTTTGATTCAGTGCCATTTTTTTCCTCTATAAGCACATCTATAAGGTGTTAGGACAGATACGTTGTCAAAGGATATGAGCAAATAGTTTTCAAAAGAATCACAAGCTATCAATAGTCATATGCAACCGTGTTCCAAATTACTAACAATAACTATTGCTCTTAAGCTAGGGGATTTCAATATTTATACTGATGATCCCCCAACATCTTAACCTCCCACTTTCTCAGTCTCCTCAGATCCTAGGACTTACACCTCTGAGTAGAGCACTACCTCAGCCACTAGCAGGGATGGTTGGTCACACTTTGGACCTCATTATTAAGCACAGGCATTCCATTACCTTGAAACTCTGAGATGACTATATCTGACCATATCACCTTTCTTTCTCTCTCTCCTTATGCCTTTCAGTATGTCTTATAGTCAGAAAATAAATAGGACCAATTCTTTGCTCTCATCACAACCTCTAATCCTCCCATCCTTTCTTAGGCCATTACTACAGCTTGTTCATCACTTTGCTCGCTTTCCAATCTTGATTTTATGGCAATCTAATTCAGCTCCAAAGTGCCCTATTAAATAAACAGATCCGATATAATGAAGCCAAATGCTAGGTAATTATAATGAACAATGTTCTGCCCTAGAAAGTGCATGAAGAAATATACCTCCCTGCTTTTTTTTTTTTTGAAAGTTTGGGTAGTATGGGTATAGGAAGTTGTATATGCTGTCAGACAGGTCATTGTAAGGGAAGGTTTATTGGGTATAACCAGACATGATTATGATATAAAAATAAAACACGTTAATAAAGCTAAAAGAAAAAAACCCTAACAACCTTCCATTTACATAGTGCCTGAAGGCCTGATGGAAGGTATTTAATATATGCTTGCTGAATTTTTTTTTTAAATTGCAGACTCATCTTTTGTCCACCTCTTGTTCCCTTTTCAGCTTTATCCTAAAATGCCCTTGGGAAATCTTTCTTTAGTTGAATCTCTTGCTAAACTTTCTTCACTTGGTCATATTCTCCATAGCTTCTCTCTGTTTTATGAGGTAATAGTACTTACAATGTTTCACAATATTTCTCCATTAGATTTTACAAATGAGTTTGTATTTTAGACTGGTATTGCCCTTCATTTTCACATCTTTCCATTTTGCAAAAAAAAAAAAAGTCAAAGCTTGCTGAATAAGGAGGCTTTTAGGATCTTTTGTTTTATGCCAATTTATAGTAGTTGAGCTTTTGTATGAATCATTGTAATCAGCATCAAGATCCTTTTGTCTGTCCATAACACATTTTTCAATGTCAATAAAGTGTTTTTAAATTGGTCATGTTTGAAGTGTTTTAATTGCATGCTATATCTTTTTCTTTATCCTGGTTTTTTAAAAATAGATTTTTATTGACATCCTTTATTTTTCCCTTGCCTAAATTTCCCTTTATATGCCTCTTATTTCCTTTTACAGAGAGCCATCCTTTATAAAAAGATTTTTTTAAAAAAGAGGAAAAAGAAGAAAAATGGATATTCAATGAAATAGAGGACTTTCAGGCA